ACGGCTAGCTCGTTGCCTTCTAGAGTCGGCCTCCTCTGCCGGCGGATGGTACACAGGAATGGCAACCTCTATAGTACTCTTCAGCTCGGGACTGGGAGCTGGAAGCGATATCTGGACCGTCATTCCAGGTTTGATCTCTGCCACACCCAACTCGTCATCAATGAGCGACTGAAGTATAGCTTTCCCTAGCGCAGCCCATGTAGGGCCGACGGGCCTGATTTCATGACGTGCGCTCTGCGGGGAAAGGCGAGACTTTAACGCCTGGAAATCTTCGACTTGTTGTGGAAGTGCCGGAAGGTAAGGGAAAGGATCAGCCTGCCTCCTGAGGAATTTCAAAAGGGCTTTTTTCGGCTTCTTGAGGGGAACTTGGGACACGGAAAGTCGGTCGTGCACCGACAACAGCGTTTCACGTAGACGCTCCTCCGCGAACGTCTCCTCCAAGCCTAGCTGCTCCGTGCGCACTTCCAGACGATTCTCATCATCTGCTAGAACGCTCTCCAGACAGTACCGCGTGAGACGATAGCTCCGCAGCGTGCTACAGAGCCTTGCGCTCTGTCTCCAGAGGTTGAGGTCGGAGTCATCGCGCTCCAGCGCCTCCGCGAAGGCTGCTAGAGCGGCGCTGGCCTGTTCAGTGACCTGGGACGGTAGATCCCCAGCATCCTGCACATCAGTAGTCTGACCCTCCAAGGCCGCGCGCAGAGCGTCCAGCAGGAATTGGCCGTGGTTCTTATAAGCCAGGTAGATGGTCTGCAGCAAAGTGCTCGACGTGGAGTCATTGATGTCGAACTCCGCCAGCGCCTCTGCAGCTCCGGAGCCTGCAGCAAAGTCAATGGGGAGATCGGAGTCCTGCAGGTTGGCGCGCTGGTAGTCGGAGATGGACTCAGGATACTTGAATATCTCGGAGGTTAACAGGGCATCATAGGCCTCCGCGGCCTGCGCATAGAACTGCGGGCCCTGGGAATGAAGCTTCAACGCATTCTGGTACAGTTTGAGCGCTTCCTCAATCTGAATTTCCTTCGTATCGTCGACCTCTTCCTCGATTAATTCATCGGGCTCGATGTTGAGCGCCGCCCAGCTCGACATGATGTCGGTGTGAATTTCAGGGTGCGCAAAGCTCCCGGACCGCGGTATGAAGCCTTGAGGCTGACCGGCCGCATCGCAAGAAGGTGCAATGGCCTCAGACAGCCCAGCTCAGAGCGGAGAGGGCGCTAGAGTCACAAGCGCTGAGAGTAAATGTAGCGATGAAATGAGATTGTGAAGGATAGCAGTGATTGATTGATGGAGTGGTTGTTGCACCTGTGGGTGGGTCTAGAGCGAGCCAGCCAGCCAGCCGCGAGTGACACGCATGGGCCGATTAAATCCAGTGATAAATCGCGCGTGTGCCCAAAAGGGAAAGGCGGTACCTGGCTGGCAGTTGTTGCCTGAGGTACTAACTCTGTACTATTTCCCTATTGATGATCGGCGGGCGCGGCCGTGACGACGACTTGAACGCCCCAGCCAGCCAGTTTCCCGCTGCGCCTCCGCTATCTTTCTTGCGTTCTTGCGTTCTTGTCTGTCGCCTGATCTCTGAAAAGGGCGTATCGCTTCCAAGACCCGGGGTTTTTATCTCGTCTTGCTTGTCCCCTTTCAAACAAGTGCTTGCGCCATGGTCGCGCCCGCAGTACCTGAGTAAGACCATTCATTCCCTCTCTCCCCACCCCCTCCTCCTCCATTTACGTGTTCTTGCGGACTCGCTATCTACAGCTCCATTGGGCCCACTGTGGTTGACCTGGCACTGACAACCATCCCCTGAAAAACTCTAGGATCTATGAGGAGGAGGACATCTACGCCGCTGTCGATGCACGCACTGAATCCCTCCAAAACCTGCGGGAATTAGGTCCGCCCGACTTGGTTTACTTGGTCAAACAACCCAAGACCAGTTCTCATCGCCAGGTACGTACATCGTCGATCGAACCCGGTCGGGGTGCGCAGAGATAACCAGAGCTGACTTCGCGGCAATCATACAATCACAGACCGGAGTCTATCACCATGTCACCGGGGTCGATGCCTCGTCGTCCGCCAGCTTGGCCGCCTATGTCAACACACTCACCTTCTCCCCGCTGGATAAGACACACAAAGTGGTTTCGGGAATCTACTGGTTCGGCCATCGGTCCAAGCATCTCCCAGTCCCAGTTGTGCTAATGTCTACGCAGCTGTTACAATGCCTTCTCCCACCTCGACATGCGCGTGGAAGTGAAGATCCCGGGCAGTCTGGAAAGCTACTGTATCGACGAGCGGGGCGACAAGCGAGTTGCGACGGAGGCTTTGTGGTTGGAGACCTTTCTCTGCGGGATTCTGAGAGCATATACCTATGCGGACGATGGCAGTGGCGATTCAATTCGCAAGATCGTGGGAGTCCGGCGATTCAATCCCGTGACGAATACGGAGATGGAGCACAAGTTTTTGGACGCTGCGGAGAGACTGTTCTTCCTGGGTATTATGCCCTCCTGCCTATCTCTCCACCGTGGTACATCGCTAACTCCGTCGTATTAGGCCGACAGCTGAGTTCCGATCCGGAGACGCAAGTGCCGAACACTGTCAGCAACCATCTGACGTCGGGTCTATTGAAGTACATCCAAACCACGGGACGCTACACCTCGGGCATCAACCTGTTTGAGAAGCTACGCACACGCGACGTCGAAGTGTCGTCGCTGCTGGCCAGAGTTCTGATCATGGCTGATGAGGAGGTGCAAGCGGTGAGACTGATTTTCGACGCTTTACAGGATGTGCCGATGGACTACGCCCTGCTCGACTGCCAAGCAGCGTTCTGCCAGAGCAAAGGCGAGGGCGAGATGGCCTTGGAGTGCGCCAAGCGGGCGGTCACCGCTGCCCCCAGTGAATTCAGCACCTGGGCGCGACTGGCCGAAGTGTACGTCGGTTTGGAGCAATGGGATCTGGCGTTGTTGACTCTGAACTCGTGCCCCATGTTCACATACCAAGATAAAGACACCCCGCGCATGCCTCAGCCCACGCGCATCATGCTGCCTATTCTTGCCGAGAGCATGCTGGAGGAGATTGATGAAGGCCAACCGCGCCAGGGCGACCCTGCCGACTATGTCCACCCCTCCCTGCGCCGACTCCACGCGGCTAGCTACCAAGGAACCTTCCTGAAGGCCTACAACCTCCTGACCAAGGTCGCGGCGGCCATCGGCTGGGACCAGCTCCTCAAGATCCGCAGCGAAGTGTTCGTCATGGAGGAGGAATACCGCGTTGAGCGCCAACATTCTACCTCCAAGCACACGCGCAGCAACACGCGCACCTCCGCGGAGGTCAACGGAGGCGACGGGCAGGAGGATGACGATGACCACCACCACCACCACCACAACGACGCGAACACAGAAGACCGCGAAAAGGAGGCCGAAGGCTCGCCCAACGGCCTCCAGGACGAGCAGCTGGAAAGTGCGATCGAAAAGCCCGAGCAATCCATGGCATCCGAAGTGATCAAATCCGGCAACGAAGATGTAAGTCGTCCCCTTGCCACCGATTCCAAAAAAGCACCCCCCTCCTCCTCGCAGATACTAAGACAAAACTCCCCACTAGCCCGACCCCTCCCACTCCGCCTACACGCAATTCCGCAACAAACGGCTCTGCGAGCGCTGGCTCGACAACCTCTTCATGGTCCTCTACGAGGACCTCCGCATCTACACGATCTGGCGCACGGAGATGGCGCAGTACCGGCAGCAGGCGATCGAGTACAAGAAGTCGGCGACGGAGTGGGAGATCCTCGGGGAGCTGGCCGAGCGGCTGCACCACTTTGACGAGGCGATCGAGGCCTACCAGCACGGCCTGGCCATCCGCTTCGCCCCCAAGGCCATGCGCGGCGTGCTGAAGCTGTACGAGAAGAAGAACGACACCCGCGGCATGCTGGGCGCGTTGATCCGGCTGATCGCCTGGCAGTACCGCTGGTATTCCGAGGTATGTCCCCATCCATTCCCCCCCCCCTCAGAAACATAAGCTAATACCTCTGGGGAAAAAAAAAGTTCTCCCCCGAACTCCTCTTTCTCATCCGCAAACTCATCGAAGACGAAGGCGCCGTCAAGGTCCGGAGTATCGTCCAGGCCACCAATCTCCCGCAACCCGTCCTCGACCTCACGCATCAGTACTGTCAACTGTGCGCGACGTTCCGGAGCAGCGGCAGTGATGGTTAGAGTGTCTGGGACTCTGAAGCTTTTCTGTCTGTTGCAGGGGTTTGGTTTATGGGTTTCCCCGGTGCGGTGCAGGTCAGGGAGATTCGATGCAAGGGGTTTAAGTAGTGGATGGAAGGAACGGATGCGGGGGATGCGGTGCGGGTGCACAGTGTAGCGAGCGAACTGGATGAACCGTGTAGGGAGGGAGGGAGGGAGGGAGGAAATTGGAGTGATACAACTCATATCCACCACACCACAACACATTCAATCATTTGTATGACTTATGTGATTCCTGTTCGAGGTGAAACAAATTAATTCAGGTTTTTGAGGTTGGTGCCTCGTCAAGGCATTGTAGTTATGCGCTAAGGTCATGCATGTCTTGTGTGGACTTTTGCTTAGCGTGATGAGGAAGACGTCTGTTGCTGTCGATTCGCTGTTTGCTCTATCCAGGATCCTGGAGCTTTCATTGTGGGTATTGTGCTTGATGGGTTGGTTGTATGATACTCTGTGCCAGACAGCAGGAGGGGAAGGATGGCTGCCAGTACGTGTAGGGTATACTTCCCGTCTCCCGTCCTAGAGCAGTCAAGTCAATTACATGGTATTGAGTTATTATCGATTGCTCTTTCTAAAAAGTCCCAAGCTCGGGGTTCATACGATCTACCAAATTCCGAGGCAAAACAACAATTTATCGTCGCAACCAGCGAAATTAATGATAATCTGAAACTACCCAGGGGGGCTCTTCATCAGCCAGCATAGCAATGATAATACCCTCAAATAGAAATCAACCGTGTCGCAAGCAGATAACGATAATAGCACACGGGGCTGAAAATCACAAAGCATCTTCGAGATCAGTCAAGATCGCTGCCTCGGGTAGAAGACGAAGTGATATAGGGCACAAGAACAGTGATATGATCACTCGTCATCGCCCTCGATATCCACCTCAGGCTCCTTGGGAACAACACCTCCCTTGGCCTTCGCGGCCGCCTTGGCGGGCCCACTGTCCTTAGCGGTATCATCTTCATCTTCGAGGTCATCATCAGCGAGCTCTTCCTCCTCTTCCTCCTCCTCATCGTCAACGCCGTTCTCGGCATCGTTTTCGCCGTTCTGTTCAACCTCCTCCTCTTCCTCCTCCTCGTCAGCCGGAGGAGCTGGAGCGGTCTTTCGTTTCTTGGGCGCAGGGGCTGTCAAAGATAGGAGATTAGCGCAAGGTCATACTTTGAGTTGATGTATCACGCTGCTTGGCTCTCTTCCTGGAATCGTAGGAACAAGATATGGATAAAAGTGAAATATACCTTCTTCTTCAGGCTCTTCAGCCTCACCCTCGGCTTCCTCGTCAAATTCCTCCTCCTCTTCCTCGCTGCCGAGGTCGCTTTGCTCTACCTCGGAGTCTTCATATCTGCTGACTTGTTAGTGCTTGGTAGACATCGTGATTGGCAGTGATGCGGTGATCTTTCGGCAGGGATTTAGAAAAGCGCGCGAAGACAAGGGGAAGAAAGAAGCGAGGCGCTCATGCGCCATGAATGGGAAAGAGCAATGAATGCGAATGCGACATGAGGGAGGAAAAGACTCACTCCTCTTCTTCCTCGCTGTCTTCAGGAAGCGATTGGAGCTCTTCCTCTTCCTCGGCTTCTTGCTTTCTCTTACGAGTAGACATGATGTATGATGATTAGGATATTGAGAAAGAGAAGAATGGGTCAATTGCGCAATTGCGCAACTAGTGGATGAATTTGTATTGAGGAGAATTAATGGTAGAAGGACAAGGAAAGGTCCCAAGGGCTGTATGGGTGTATGGAAGGGGTAGAGAGAGTGTGGGAGAGTAAAGTAGGGAGAGGGAGAAGAGAGAGAGGGGGGAGAGCAAGCTGGGGAGTGAGAGAAGTATAAGAGGGAAAAGGGCAGAGAGAGAGAGAGAGGGGACGGCCGGCAGGGAACAGAGGAAACGGACAGCCAGCCAGCCAGGACAAGCCTCCTCACAATCCAAGGGAAGGGGGAGAGACCCAGTTTGGGTGAGGGGACAGTCCCGGACAAGGGAATGGATGAGTGAGCATTATTTCGGTCAGTCAGTCAGCCCGGCAGTTCGTCAGCCCCAAGCAGCAGCAGCAGCAGCAGGAGCAGCGCAGCGGCGCGAGAAAAGCGCGCACTGGGCAACCACCACAAGCTAAACAGGAAGAAGAAAGCTGCTGCTACTTCTGCTACTTCTGCTCCAGGCCTGGGGCTCTCGTTCCCGTCGCATGGCGCGCGTCGCGTTAATGGTGCCGAGGCCGTGCGCCTAGAGGTTCCTGGGCAAGAGCTGAGTGACTCCGCAGTGATGACATGACGACTACCCTCGCGGGAATCGCTGCTTGGTCGGTTGGTTCTCAGCTCGCCATGGAACGATAGCACTCCCAGGGACTTGAAGTCCCCTGGATCTGAAGAGAGCTTGACATAGGGATCAGTGGGAGGTAAGAGGAAATCATGGTCGAGTGTTGAAGAGAAAGAAATAGGAATAGGAAGAGAGTAGGAAGAGAGTAGGAAGAGGAAGAGGAAGGATGGAGTGAGGGGAGGGAAGGGCAGGGGAGAATGAAGATGGCGGGTGAATGCCGTATGGTAAGTGGGGTGACAGTACCGAACGGGGCGAAGGTGCACAGACACTCCGGGGCAATTGCAGCCTGTGTATCCGTAATTAACGGTCAACCTTACCAGGGCGGTACCGGCAGTGGCAGTGGGCTTAACTCGTTCTCCGGACGTGGGAAAAAAAGAAAAGATTCGACTAAACTCATGATGTCAATCTCTTGTCACACTCACTCACTACTCTTCTATCCGGCTATTACGCAGCAGCTTACGCGAAGGGTAGACTAAGTTACTGCAGGGGCATTCTAGAGTGATTCTACCAAGTACAGTACCATACATAGTACAGCCAACTCAACCTAACGTAATGCGGACTCTGTAGACTTTTAGAGGCTAGTGCAAGCTTACACAGTACTGTAAACAGACTACCTACAGACTCCAGTACTCCTCGCGCCCCAGCAACTGAATCAGCAGCTATTCAGCTGCTGCCTCGGGTTATTTACATTCCATGCCCTTCTTCGTCCACCAAAAGAGTTCCCAGAAAAACAAATGGAAACCATCATAAGCTCACCGTGCTACCAAAGAAGTTACCTCCAACAAAAAAAAAAAAGAAAAAAAAAAGAAAAGTAAAGAAGTACAGTACAGTACATCAGAAACGCCGTAGCACAACTTACACAACATCACTGACTAGAATTAACAATTCCCCCAGATCCCAAAACAGTCAAGAGGCCAGGGGTAAATCCCCCACCCCCCCGTCCGCCCCTTACCCTCCCGAGCCAGATCGCGCAGGGTTTCCCACACCTCCACAGCCGCTGCCCGGGATTAACCAGCTAGTTCATTATCATTCTTTCCCCGGTGCTCTGCCGTGTGATCGATCTTATTCTCCCCCATGAGTGGGAAAGCGTAAAAACCGAGCCAAGTCTGCCGTCCTGCGCTGCGCCGTCTGCTTCTTTTTTTTTTTTTTTTTTTTTTTTTTCTAAGGATCTGTGGAATAATCCTTCGGGAAGAAATCGGGGGGGGGGAAGTGGTCGCCGCTTGCTAACTATGAGTATCTTCCGTTGGTCGTGATAATGGCTAAAACGTCGTTATCGAACAGGACCAACAGCGTTTGTGGAGAATGCGATGGCGTTTGACTTCCTCGCGTACCCGTCAAGCAGGGGGATTGTTCAACCTCGAGGACTGCTCCCCGCAAAGCCGACAACAATGGACCGTGTATTCACCTAGATGAAGCCCAATATGTATATATACAGTATCTCTCGTCTAGCGTCATGCGCTGCAACCGCATCTACTGAGCCAGAAACTCAAAACTCGCCATGCTAGGATCCAGCAAGTTCTCATCCAACCCAAACCCGTACGTGCCCACCATATCGTATATCAGATCCGGCGGCGGAAACCCCTGGGCCATGGCGTTGGCGCCCCCGGGGACATCGCTGCTCCCTTTCGCATCGGTGGCCGCGGCGTCGGCCACAGCGGTGCCATTCGCGTGCCACGAGTCCCACGAGTCGAACCGCTCCAGCATCTTTCCGAGTCCGCGGGCGATATGCCGCGTCAGATGCCTCTCGCCCGCGGAGACACAGTTCAGCAGCTCGATCACCCGCTCCACAAGACGTCGGACCTGGCGGCCGTCGAGGCTGAGGTAGGCCGAGTTCCAGTTGATGGCCACCTTGAGGAGGAACACGGCGGAGAAGGTGATCATCGTGTGCGTGAAGATCGGGACTCCGACTATTGCGTCCCGGATGTCGGGTTCTTCTAGCACCATATTCAAGCAGGCCATGGCGGACGCGATGGCCGTGTTGGCCGACTCTTTGCGGTCCATCGAGAAGACGGGAGTGTTGGACGGGGACAGAGCCCGCAGGGAAAGCGAATTCAGCTGGAATTTGGCGAAGTGGTAGTGCAGCACTACCCCTTTGGATGGATACGTTCGTACATAAGGGCTATCGCCTATATCGGGGGCAAATATGTCAGTCAGATCATAATGCGTGGTGGAGGCGAGAACCTACCGGATCGTGGCTGCCACAGCAGCCGCCATTGGTCGATGGCCACATTGAAAACTCGTAATTGACCAAAGTCTTCCTCGGTGAATGGCTGCTCTGTATCACTTCCAAAGGTCCGGTAAGCTTCCGTGAGGATCATGAACAGCGCCACCTGTGCCATAAGCCGGATATCGCCTGGCACGACCAAAGGCGATTGCAGAAATGTCTCGTAGTTTCTGATCGCGGCATCTTCGTGGATCACGGGTGGTCGTCCGTACGCGATGCTGAAGTGGTGATCGCACACATACATCAGGTACCAGAGCTGAGCACGCTCGTACTGGTCGTTGTGACCACGCATCATCTTATGGTAGCTCTGGTGAAGCCCTAGCTCGGTGGCGATGCGCACAGCATGGCCTGATAGCTTCCAGCTCAGCTCCGACAGCCAGAACGCCCCGATACAGAGCGCGCGAATGTCATCCAAAGTGTGAGACCGTGTCAGCGACATGCTAGACACAAGTGATACATACTCGTTGTAGCAACGGTTCAACGTCTCCGTACGGTTCGGGATATGGAGTGCTGCAACTGTCAGGACGGCAGTGCAGAGAAGCGAAGAAGCTCGACGGACGGAAGTCAGATCACGATGAACCAGGATAATCCCACCCCAGAGAAGCTGGTTCATCGTCCTGCTAAAGTAGGCAAAGAGTTCTTCGGCCTCATGGAGCGAGATCAACCCGCGCGAAATGAAGTCCTCCTCCAGAAGTGTCACTTTGGGTTGTTCGATAGGATTGTTCCGCAGATTGCGCAGCTTGGTGACTTCGTATAGACTCCGCATGGGCGCTGGCACTAATTCGCGATCTTGGAGATCCGGTTCCTGCGAAGGCTCTCGGGTAACATCCATTATCAGGCCCGGTTCCGCCGATTGTTTGGTTGCGGGCGACCCATCGAATGAAGGCTGCAGGTCAGACTGAGACTCGGCAGGGCTGGTGCCACTTTGATTGTCACCGCCAGCGAACGATGACAGCTCTGAAAACCCACCCTGGCGCAAAAGATGTGAGACAGCCGCCTGCAGCTGTCGGATTGTGGCTGCAGCTTGCGACTTCCACCTGAATGGCTCGAGAGGTTAGTGTGAGCCGTACATTGACAGCCACTATGGTGTAAACCGATAGACACTCACATCACATCATCGTCAACAAACTTCTGGGAGAAGTCGTTGACCATGCATTTGATGCCACTACGCGTGCATTTTGTGCAGCTCGTCTCTCCTGCTTTGAACTCACAACGGATTTTATGTCGCTTGCATTCCGCGCCTGAAATACTAGTTTAGTACCTGGCATGTAGAAAGCTTTCCATAAGGCGGGGGTAGAGGCGAAGGCGGGGCTCAGCAGATATTGCAACCAGGGGAACTCACACGCGCGAGCTTTGGAGATCCTTGGGGCCGAGGGTCGGCCATCAGGGATAAGAGACGACCGTCGGCTATGCTGGGGTGGACTGTCGTCCAGATTGGCTTCATGTGAAGAGCGCTTCATGGTGTTCGACTACCGATGGATCGGGGATACTCCGGCATTATGCAGCCAACAAGGACGGGCAGTTGGCGAAGAGGATCTACAAGCGATCCACTACTCGGTTCGTTTATTGAGGGGCACAAACGATTGGAAATATTCTCTTGGAACATAGAGCTGGAAACCAGCAGAAATGGTCACAGAATGGTCGCAGAAGGAGAGAGACATTGACTTGAGGTGGGGAAAAAGAAGAATGGGAGGTGACGATGGCGGGTCAACCCCGCTTCAATCCACTCAACTCGACCCTGTTGATCCTCAACACCTCAGCTTCTGGGTTGAACTGCCTGCCATGGATATCGATGATAATACAGTAACTATCACTCTCCTCAAACTGCAAATCAAAATCTGCCTGAGTGCACCCGTGCCACCAACTGCGATTTCCCTGAACAACACCAATCCCCCCCATTTGTTGACATTTTTCCTATCCAGACAATGAGTCAGGCACGGGATCTGGGGAAAACACTGCGGGGTTCAGTACACGTATGTACGCCGCAAACTTGCAAATCTTCAACCATAACCTCCTTCTCCGTGTTTATTCAACTTAATCTCTGTCCACCGAGGACACGCTCCAGAGCTACTAAGCAAGCTAGCTCAAGTGGCATCTCCACTAACTAATGCCCATCCATAGTGGCTGATATCTCCCGATCTACCACCCGTTTTCGAGAAGACAACTAGCGCGTCTCGCCGACCAGCCTGTTCCCAAACCCAATTGGCCTCACACTGTCGTCCTGATAATTCTATGACACACAAGCGTTCGCCACGCTCAGCATGTGAACTCCTT